CCAGTCTTCTTTAACAGTTTGTGTGTCCTTTCCTATGAAATTGGATTGTGAGCTCCTACGGAGCAAGAACCTATTTTCTCTCTCTTGGTCTATTACTATATAACCTGATCTATACAAAACAGAAACATTTGGTGAAATAGAAGTGGAAGTAAATGTAGTCTCATGTGCCTGCAGTCCCCAGGAGGTGGAGCTGATGTAATCTGGATTTTGGTTTCAATAATATATAAAATGGAGATAATAATAATGCTTAGATTTATTACATAATGTTATGTATATAAAGTCTTAGCCGAGCATCAGATACTTAGTAAGTGTTTAATAGATGTTGACCATTAACCCTTTGGTTGGGATAGTTCTTGTGGGGTTATATTTGTCTCATAGTCCTAAGTCACTAGCATTGTTATTAACAGAATCGTTAATTTCTGTTTTATCATAAAGCAATAAATGTAATTTTCTAAGCAAGGAGATATCTTCCTCTAGTCCCTAATAGTAAAGATAAGGAAATAGTAATAGATAAGATAAGGAAATAGTAAAGATACTGAAACTGAGGCTCTGTGAAATGAAATGACTCTCCAACACCCCACTCATGGTGAACAGCAGAGCCCCAGGCATAAATGTGTTCTATTCACTGTAGTAATGAATCATTCCTTAAAATTATTAGTTAAGTGGAGACAAAAATTGCCTGAAAGACTGTGAAATCTGTTTTAACAGTGTCTGGTTTTGATATTAAGTCAAAATACACATAAATTAGGCATTTTCTGTGCATGCCAACCAACTCAACTTATCATGGTTGAGTTGCTGTTGTTAGGCTTGGTGGTCTTTAAGCTGCACTACTAATTCATCCAGTAAACATTAGACTTAAGAGGGACTTGATAGCACTTCTAATTAAATGTATATGCTGTGTTAAAATGATTAAGGATAATGAGGGCCAGAATAGTTATGTGACTTGGCCAGGATCAAACATATTAAGCCATTTCATTTGTAAGGATGGTTATAATAGTTGAGGGTTATTACAGAATTGCTGGCTCTTTTGGCTGGGGTTGAGCCCAATATGATCTTGGGAGAGATCTGATCATTAGATCAGGAGGCAGAAAACTTACCTTCTAGGTCACATTGTTTTTTTATTTTCTTAGTCTCAATTACCTCATTTATATAATGGATATAAAATTATATCCCCATCAAATGGAAGGATATATTAAATAATGTGTAAAATGTAGATGAAGGAACTGTTTTCTTATTGCTATTATTTTGCATGAATTGAGACTTGAAAACTTGCTGTAAGCTAAACCCAACTTTCTGTGGGAACTTAGTGTTACTGTGTCCATTTTATCAACATGAAATATGTCAGAGATAGAAAACAAGTGACACTATGAACTGATGGTTAGAGTCTCTTGTTTAGGAATTTTTTGGGATGGTAATAGACATGTTGGTTTGACTGTATGTGTCATATGATGTTCTCCAGTGACTTGTAACTTGGATCCATGCAAGTTCTCAAGTCTTCTTTAACTTCCTTAGTTATATATAACTTTATCATTTATGTTCTTGATTTGCCAAAACTTCCCTGTTCAAATGCTATCCACAAGAGACATCTGACAGCCAAGAAGTCTTTCCAGGTCATTCAACTGAGTTCCTAACATTTTTTTTTTTTTGAAGGCAGGAAGTTACAAATTGTGAAGAATAAAAAAGCTTGAAAACACAGAGGTGTATTCTGATATTCAAGGCACTGGTTGTATTTCTAAATGGATCCTATTTGATTGAAATAATCTGCATTTCTTATTTTCATGACTGAGTTAACTTGATTATGCATTCTGATTACTAGCTGGAATAAATGATCTGGTTAGCCTAAATATTTGATATGACTATGATTTAGAAACACATCTTACAAAGGATTCAGTTTTATTTTTACCTAAGGGGTTGGTCTTAACTCTATTTTAAGGGTATTATAGGGCAGCTTACTTTATGTTATTGAAAATGTGAGCTGATGCCTGTATTCTGTATATAAAATCACTTGGGCTCTATTTTGTGAGGGAGTGAGAATCTAGCACAGAGCACTTCCAGGGAAACAAATAGCTGTGTCTGAAAATCCTCTTCATGGGCAAATCCTGCCTATGCCTCCATGTCTTGTCCAGTTCTTTTCTAGTTAGCCTGAGTTCCCCAGGACTGTTCCAGTTTTCTGAGATCCCTGTCTTTGCTGGATTCCTATGAGACATCCAAGGCAATATGCAGTGGTGTGGAAAATTATGTGGTAGTACTTGTCTTGGTTTCTATTTGTGAATGCGCTCAGTTTCCATTGGTCCTGTAAATACTTTGAGGCAGAGCCTCGTTCTGCACTTTGGTATATCTCAGGATCTAGCACAGTGCTGGGCACATAGTAAGCACCCAATAAACACATAATTAATCAACACTAACTGGGAAACTTCTCAGGGTCTGGGATTCTGTTTCAAATTATCTACCTGGTACCTCATATAGGGCCACATGCTGATAGGTGCTTATTGATTGATTTGATTGAAACTATAAACAGAATTTCCACTGGTTTCTTTAACTTCTATGATAACATGAATCTGAGCCCTCAGACATTCTCCTCATTTAACTTGTCTTGCCCAAGTAGCTTTAATCTGATGCTTCTAATTGAGGTTGCCTGGGTTATCCCCGAAAGTTGCATTGGAAAGTATGCATTAACACTCTCCAAGTCCTTAGAGGTGGAAGAGATTATAAGTTTTCAGCTCAATCCTTCTAAATACATGGTAAGGAAATAGGTTTGTCCAGGTGATTCATTATTAAATGAACTAAGAGTCCATTTAGTGTTAAACTTTGAGCTCCCATTTTATTTCAGATGACATGGTGTGTTAAGAGTGTAGAGTCTCTGGTTTCCTCATTCTCCAGCCATAGTCCCCATTCAAATCCCAACCGTTTGGCCCCCATTGAAAAGTTATCAGTTAGCATAGTTATATCTTTCCCTTCCCTCCTTCTTCCTAAACACTCATTGGAGAAATCACATGTCCAGAATTTCTAGCTTTTTCATAATCATAGCACATTATGGTAAGCAGATTTCATACCACTTTACTCCCAAAGGTAGGACAAGACTATTTTTTAAAACTCTTGCTTTGAGAAGTTTTTGAAAAGCTCACAATACTTGTGGCAAGTGAGGAGCTCTTGGCATGTCCCAGAAACAATGGGATTTGGGAATCCATGTCTCAGAGGATCAGAATTTCTGTGTTTGGCCAAGTGTGTGATGCTGATACTATGGCTTTACAGTGGAAAGGCATAGAGGATCAGGCGAGGATGGAGATGTATCCCTCAGCAGCAGCAACTTCCATGTTAGATGAGCAGCTCCACTTTTCTGCTCTTGAAGGAGGCCAAAGTTAGCCCCTGTTTAGCACCAAGTATAAGATTATATGCTTGGACATGTAAAACATACACACACACACACATACACACACATATGTATATATATTTGTGTGTGTGAAGATGGTGACTGGACTAGTGATTGTGGATAAACTAGATTTGGGGCAGAGACTTCTCTGTCATTTCGGAGCTTGGTTCAGTTCTGCAGTACCCTGAATGTCTTCAGAAATGAGGGGTGGGGAGCTGGGGAGGGTGGAAAGAAATGTCACTTTGCTTCCTGTGAGCACTGGCAGCTTTGTGGAAGACTTGCCAGTGATGCCGCCTGGGTTTGAGAGAGGAAGACATCAAGGCTAGAAGGAAGGAAATGGGAAGGTCTTGTGGGATGGGTTTTCACAGGTCTAGAAACCTGCTGCAGGTAAGTGAGGATGGCAGCAAAATGGTCTGACTTTCTGTCCCATCCTTCTTCATCCTGTTCTTATCAAGGACTAATGCCCAAGAGGCTCTGACCTTTGACAGCACCCAACAGTCAGCTGTCAGCAAAAGACACTGCTGTTTCCAACCTTTACTTGTGCATGTGTTTATTGACAGGGGAAGCAGTCAGAATCCTAGATGTTAAGGGAGGGTTGGGGAAATAGGTTCTCAGGCTTAGTTTGCAGTATCGTTTGACCTAAGAAGACTGTATCAGCTAATCTGAGTTTGGAAAATCTTAGGAGATAAGATTCTTGGCACCGGGCCTCTAAGAGTAAAACGCTTTAAAAATTACAGTAAATTCCCTGGAAAATTTGACTCCAGCCTTCTCTATCATGCTATGTATCCCGCCCCCACCCCCGCAAACCCCTTCGTGAGTATAGGAGACACAGGAAGAAAGGACCATCTGGCACAGCATGCCAACTTTTTATTTGGTTGCTCTCAATCCTACCTTCCTGTTTGGATCACCCCTCCCCTCTGCTCATACTTCAGAAACCAATCAAGGTGTCTCCTGAACTCATTTATTCCCTTTGTTTCAACCGCCTTCTTGGGTAACTTTTTCCATATGCCTTACAACAGACATTTTTTTTTTCCTTTTTCCATCCAAAATGGCCTGATTGGACTCTTAGGAAAAGCCATTTACTCAAATACATGACAGAGTGCTTCTAAAGATCCCAAACAACTTTTCATTACTTTTGATGACCAGGATATATAAATAGAGAAAAAAAAATTGCTCTGTTTAAAATTTACTGGTGGATGGGCAATGATGCTTAGTAGTAGAACATTAAAAAATACATTATTAGCATTGAGCCCTACCCCCCACCCCAGCCCCCAGTGAAATTGTCTAGATTTGGAGCTGAGATCTGTAATTATTATTATTATTTTTTAATTTGGCATTTATTTTATTGCCCTGTTTGGCTTCTTCACTTCACCATGGTGACATTAGTACTCTTTATGTTGCCTGTTGTGGACCAGTTTTGTTCAGCTGTTGCTAAAATGCCAGATGTCATGTTGAGAACACAAAACCTAAAAGGTGGTTGTAAATCTCAAAAACAAACCATAAAAGAAATAATAAAATACCCTGAATGCTGTGCCCTGGAGCTTCCCAGCTTTAAGTTACCAAAGCAGGGCGGTGGGGGTGGGGGAGGCTCCGCAGTTTCTCACCTAAGACTTGATTGTTTATCTTGCAGATTCCGAGCAAAGCACTGGTTCAGACTCTGAGGTACTCACTGAGCGGACTTCCTGCTCCTTTGACACTCACCCTGACTTGGGCTCTGGTGCTGCAGGCCCTGTGCCTGCTGCCATGTCTTCCATGGAAGAGATTCAGGTGGAGCTCCAATGCGCTGATCTCTGGAAGAGGTTCCATGACATTGGAACTGAGATGATCATCACCAAAGCAGGCAGGTAAGGACAAGTTCCTTTGGATGGCTAGATTCCAAGAATGGAGACCAAAAGTAGGAGCTGTTACACGTTTTTCTTTTCACTTACTTGTGGTAGGTAGTATTGGTGATGCCCGAGCTACTTGTGCTCACTTTTCTGCATATGGACATCTTGGTAAAGTGATCTTGAGTTTACTATGATTTTGCTGTTTTCCTCCAAGGGCCATTCCAATGTCTCAATCACCTCTACACTCACAGACATTTTCTGCCTACAAATGTATATCAGCCCATATGGGAGATTGATGGTACATAAGGACCACATGGTAGATTTCCAAAGCAAGTGTTACTTCACCATCCAGTGTTTTTTGAGAGAAAAAGCTTGCTCCCCAAACAACAGCTTGCATCTCCTAAAGCATTAAAAGCAGCCAGATGGGGCACCTGGGTAGCTCCATGGGTTAAAGCCTCTGCCTTCGGCTCAGGTCATGATCCCAGGGTTCTGGAATCGAGTCCCGCATCAGGCTCTCTGCTCGATGGGGAGCCCGCTTCCTCCTTTCTCTCTGCCTGCTTCTCTGCCTACTTGTGATCTCTGTCTGTCAAATAAATAAATAAAATCTTTAAAAGCAGCCAGATGTTTTTATAAGAGGTTTTTTGTTTTTGTTTGTTTTTTTGGTAAGAATAGGGCTTGGTACATGTCTGAGCCCTTCTTACTGATCCATGTGTTTTATTGTTGGCTTGAAATTATTACGAAACTTTAATGGCAACCCAGTGGAAACTGTTGCATCACTATGTAGGATGATAAAAGTTTTTAAAATACAGTTTCTTTTGAAATAAACACTTTTAATTAAGCCATTCCTTCACTGGCATCTTTCAGTTTTCCATGGTTAGGCATCTGTTTTGTGCTGGATGCTCAAAATATATTATGTCATTTAGACATCACAGGAATCCTCTGAGATAGGATATAATAATCCCATGCATGGATGAGGATGCAAAGGCTGAAAGAGGTTAATTAACTAAATTAACTAATTAGCTAAAGTCACGGATAATAAAGGGCAGCTTCAGAATTCCACACAAATCTGTCTAGGTCTAAAACAATGGTCTTAACTGTTTAAAATTCCACACTGTTAAGAAATGGTTGTAGTTTTTGCCCCTTGGATTAAAACTGAAAATGATTTAAATAAAAATAAATTTGGACTAAGCTTTTGAGTATATAGGAATAGTTAATTAAAGTTAAAACAGTTATGCTGTTTTCATATTTTCAAAGCCAATCTACGTAGTCTTATATCATGGGGACCAAAAAGACCCACCCGATTGGTCATAAGCTATCTTCATGAACATGGACATTTAAAGTAAAAGAGCACTTGAATGCATGTAGAAAAAGCTCCCAATATAATAAGACATCACAAAAACATGAGGTCAAAATGAACCTGAAATCTTGTTCATTTTATTTCTCCTTTGGAACCTTCTTCCTTCCTAAGTTTTGGTGGTGAATAAAACCAGCAAAAGGCTTCTTAGGAGGAGCAACTCTGAAGGGGAATTATTTCCAATACCATCTCTTTCTTGTTGCTTGGGTTTCAGTCTACTTCTGGTCTACATTTTGAGATCTTATGATTTAGATGGAAACAGCAATTCTAGGACAAAGTTTTTATTCTTTTTAGTTTTTGACAAGGGGGTTCATTTGGAGAGAGGGGAAAATATTACTTTTTTTGCCTATGAGATTTTCTAGTTTTTTAATTTTGGGTTCTCACTCACTATAGGGGTTTTTGTGTATTCCAGTCAATATTATCTCGGATATCGTTCCCTTGTTCCTTGCACTTCTATGAATTCAATTCCCCCAAATACATTTTTCACAGGTCTCCTGTGACCTTGTTTCATGATTTATTCTGCAGTGTTTTCATTTCCACATCTCTTACTTCACAAATTCAGTTGAGACCTACGTGGATATACCCAGATATTCCCAGAACAAACATATAAAGTTTTTTTTTAAAGATTTTATTTATTTGATAGAAAGAGAGGTCACAAGTAAGCAGAGAGGCAGGCAGAGATAAAGGAAAGCAGGCTTCCTGCTGAGCAGGGCTCGATCTCAGGACCCTGATCATGACCTGAGCTGAAGGCAGAGGCTTAACCCACTGAGCCACCCAGGCGCCCCTAAATTTTGTTCTTTAGTCATATCCTGTTGTTGAGGTTTAGGTATGTTATTCATTTCTCCTTTATTGGATTGCCTCAGCCTTTGCCATTGTTCCATGTAACTCTGCTCAAGAAATTCTGGAACAACTCAAGAACATACAAAGAAAGACTTCTCTTCTCTGACTTTTCTTTCTTTCTTTTCTTTTCTTTTTTTTTAAGATTTTATTTATTTATTTATTTGTCAGAGAGAGAGAGGAGCGAGAGCAAGCACAGGCAGACAGAGTGGCAGACAGAGACAGAGGGAGAAGCAGGCTTCCTGCCGAGCAAGAAGCCGGATGTGGGACTCAATCCCAGGATGCTGGGATCATGACCTGAGTGAAGGCAGCCACTTAACCAACTGAGCCACCCAGGTGTCCCTTCTCTGACTTTTCTTCACCTCCTCCCAGTTCCTCAAGTCTGTTTCTTCCTTTTCACTTCCTTTCTCTTCCTTCATAATGTCCTTTCCAATTTTAATCTCAATTTTTATTTTCTTAGTTACATAGTTTTGCATGACTCTCTGTTCCTTTTTCCTGCTGAGATTTTCATCACCATCTACTTCTCACTCCCTAAACTGTCATCCTTCTGATTCAGAACTACTGCAGGCTACAGAGCCCTCAATCTTCGAAGGTACCAACATAATCTGTAGAATCAGCACCATGGACAGAGGTGCTTATAGGGATTAATGGGTTTAGAAGACATAAGAATTGGCCTAAATTTAACCATAAAATTAAAACCAAACAGATCTCATTTTGTGAATATGAAAGATTAATTTTTCCCTAGGGTGTTATGACCTCACTTGATATTCTGTGCTAAAATACTGGCAAAAAGAAAAAGCAACTTTTGGTAATTTTTTAGGAAGAGAATTCAAATGTAGTCATAGAATTTCAAAGTAAGAGGGCACTTTAGAGATTAGATAGTCCCTTTTTTTTGTTTCTTGGGTGATAAGGTTAAATAACTTTTCCAAAGTCACACCTCTCATTTAGAACTTGGGTATTGGTAAGAAACTGGTAGCTCTTCCACTCAAGGTTATGTGGGTGTTCCAAACAAAACAGGTATTGAATTTAGAAACACTTAACCCTTTTCCTTGGAGTCATGAAGAAAGACATTCATCTCTTGCAATGTAACACAGCCTCTGTAGATGTCTGAGAGGAACCATATTTTCTTACCTCAGGTAGCAAGTGAGAGGACTTTCTTTCTATCCCTGGAAAGGTCCTCTCCAACCATTTATAAGTATAGGGCAATCATAAATCATTGTTATTAAGAAGGTTTAAATGTTTAAATGTAAATGTATATACATCAAGATTCCCAAATTTTTGGAGAGGATTAACATAGATCAAATTGCTTACTCTATAGTGAATGCTAGATTTAGTGATTATGAGAAGTCCATCATGGGATTTCATTAGCTCACCATAAGACTAAAATATAAGGCTTTCTAATTAAACTGGTGAAGCTAGAGGTAGAAAATCCAGAATGATATACCAATAGAAGCTTCTGGAAAGTTATAAAGTAGGAAGAAAGGAATGTTGTATATTATTCTTTGTAAATACTTAAGAACTAGCCATCATTCCTATAAAGATCTGTAGTCCCTCTTGTGCCTTCCCCCAAATAGGATTATGATGCCACTGACCTACTACCATGGGACACTTGCATTTTGATTGCTTCTGGTGAGCAGTGCAGTGTGTGGCTAGCACAGAAAGCCCCTCATGTAAACAACTAGGGCACATATGCAAGATGGCTGCCTGGGGTCAGGGTATGGTCTATGGCCATGAAATGGAGCAAAGCCAATTAGGCTGTATGTGGATCAAGCCTGTGACCTTGACCTCATTAGCACCGTGCTCTGCCCAGCTCAACTAACTGGCCCCAGATGGTTAAGCTTAATGCAGCATTTTGTGTACAAGTACCCTAGAGCACATTCAGGCAATCCACATTTTTTGAACTGAGCACTTTTTATGTCTGACTCCTAAATGAATGACATACAAAAGAGTTTGATGTTTTTCTTCCTTCTTATGGTTAAAGAAGAATGGAGAATTTTATTCTAGACCCTTGAAACTCAATACTTGTCTGGGTTGCTCCCTCTCCTCCTCTTCAATTATGAGAGTAGTTGTAAAGTGCCATATCCTGACCTCGCTTGCTTTGGCAAGTTTAACAAGCCATTGTGGTAGAAACAAGGTACTGCCCAGAGGCCACTAGAATTCATTTGGTATTTGCTCCCTATTCCACAGAGTCCTCCTTCTGACACATGTTGACAGCCTGAGAACTTGCAGAAATTTTTCTACAGTTTTACGTAGTAAAAAACCCTCAACTTTGTTGGCCCTTTGCTTGGGGAATAGTAGCCTCTTCCTTTTTTCTTCTTTCCTAGAGAGATTACTTTTACATAGACTCAATCAATCAGAAAACATTTCATCATCACCTGTAATCAACTGTGATAAACTACTTGACTTATGAAAGTCAAGTAGCTACTTGACTTTGATAAGCTACTTGACTGTGATAAGCTACTTGACTTATGCTTATGAAAGCCTAAGTTATTCAAGTATGTGAAGTGTAAGAGTGTAAGTATTTTCAAGAATGGTATAGTCTGATAGGAAATGTGTGTGTGGATACCTAATCACATTAAAGATTAATAATATAAATCAGGGTATGATATGAGCTCTTTGAGTATATGAACCGTAAAATAGGTCAATTTAAGTTAAGAAATGGTGCTATTTCAGCAATGAATACTTAGCATATTTTATAGTAATAATTTCCAAAGTAAAAAAAAAGCAGCCGACTTGGGAATTAGAGGCATTGGACTTTGGTGTGCTTAGCGTTCTTGATAAGAAGAAACTCTCTAAGCTTTTATTCCTGCGACTTCTCTCCCTCTGACTGTTGAGTTTACTGCCTATTCCCCTTCACAGGAGGATGTTTCCTGCCATGAGAGTGAAAATCACTGGCCTGGACCCACACCAGCAGTATTACATAGCAATGGACATTGTGCCTGTGGACAATAAAAGATACAGGTAATGATCACTCTGGGGTTTGGAATTGCAGACATCACCAGCATTCCAAGACAGTTCTTTAAACTCATTAGATGAACCATTTTTACAGTGCCCTGTATGATGCACTATACAGGGAACAAGGAGGGGGGATATGCCAATAGCCTGTAGCAAAGCACCATGTAGGAAGTAGTCACTCATGATTGGAAATCAGGACTTAGTAATGGTTTTGTCTGGTATCCTCCCTAGTATCTGGACAGAGTGGGACTGTATAGTATCTGCCAGGGTTGCAAAAATCAAATGGATATTAGGTCTAAAATTAATTCACTTAACATTAAAAGTGATTAACATATTGAATGATTTGGTTTATGAAATTGCTGAACGAGTTGAGATGATTTATTTTGGAGAGGCAAAGGAGAAGTGGACCAGTGCAGTATATTTAATCATATATCTAATGAATCATGCTGTGGATGATGGAGGGGAAGAAGAGGATAATTGGGTAAGATTTCAAGAAGAACATTTAGGAAAGGAGAATTATAGTTTATCAATATGGGTTGTGAGCAAGTTTGTTAAATAACCTTCCTTCAAAGTCATTACAGTCCAACACAATGTCTGTGTCCCTTGGATGGCTTACACATTAGTTCTTCTCTGAACAAAACTGTGGCTTAATCTGTCTCTTGAGATGTCAATCAGAGCAGTGAATCATGGCTCATTTTTCAAATGTTTGAAAACTTGGCCCTGAACTTATGACGTGGGTGGGGAGAGATGAATGAATAGGAAAGATGAGGACTAATAGGGTAGAGGGAGAGAGCTGGCCAAGAGAGAAGTGATCTGGATGCATGACTTAAGACAGGAGATGTTTCAGGTCTGTTTTAGAGGATCTTGTGATTTGGACTGTGTGCCTCTGTTCACTACCATCCAGGTCCTGTGTGGTCCTTTATAAGTGAGAAGCAGGGAAATACCAGATCCATGGAACGCTCTCTTCAGAACTACAGGGCAATGGGCAAACTCTGGAAAACTGACCTCCTTTGCTGCTAACAACATCTCATTTCCAGGGGCTTTGTGGGAAAGTCATGATGATGATGATATTCAAAACTGGGTTCAAAGAAACACTAAAACACTAACTGGGAAGACTCTGCAGTGTTTCTGGGAATGGTTGCACTGAGGCAGAGACACTCCGTTTTCATAGAAATGCCTCAAAATTCAGATTCTCAGTAAGGAAATGGTTAATAAGTGAGAGGCTTGGAGGGTCTCTGCACATGGCTGTGTTTTATAGGACAATATGGAAGATGTTTTTAATAAGGAACCAAATCCTGAACAAGTGGCCCACAGATTATATGGTTTGCATTTGAGAGGTGAAAGGTTGCAGTAAAATACCTTTTCCATAGCTAGACACGTGGGCTCAGGATGCTTGTGTGCACACAGGGGTGCAAGGCAAGGAGAGGAGAAGAAAGAAAAAGGACTGTGAGAATGTTTTCCTTGTGAGTGCTGCAGCTTTGATCATTAACCACAACCCTTTGCTGCCCTCCCCCACCCCCCCTCTTTCTCTGTTTTTTTTTTTTCATCTCCATCTGATTGTCTCTGGTCCTCTACCCTACTGCTTTTCTCTCTTTTATTCTCTGTTTAATCCCTACTGTTTTCCATCTTGTCATCTCTCTGTCTCTCCCGACTCCTATCTCTACTGGCTTTCTGGGCCTCTATTCCCTCTCTGTATCTGTCTCTGATCTCTTCTCTCTCCCTCTCTGCCTCAGATACGTGTACCACAGCTCCAAATGGATGGTGGCTGGCAATGCGGACTCCCCTGTACCTCCAAGAGTTTATATACACCCTGATTCTCTAGCTTCTGGAGACACCTGGATGAGACAGGTGGTCAGTTTCGACAAACTCAAGCTGACCAACAACGAGTTGGATGATCAAGGACATGTGAGTCAAAGAATTCCATCCATCTCCCTCTTCCCCCATTTTGGCTCTAGAACTGACTAGCCCTAGGCTTTTCCAAACAGGTAAAATAAGAAGCTCTGTGCCACTTGGAGTCATTTTAAGTAAGTAGGCCTATAAGTTTTTTTTCCCTCTCTGGTGAACTTTCATTTATTATAAATCTCACATTGAGCGAACGTCTGCTGGACATTAGGTTGTGTTTATCAGACAAGAGTTCTCATGTTCCAGAAACCCACAGTCTAGTTGGGGGAGAGTTTGAAGAGAGAAACACAGGACAAGCTTGTGGGAAAAATGGGAAAGAGGGGGGCCTGGGTGGCTCAGTGGGTTAGGCCTGTGCTTCAGTTCAGGTCATGATCTCAGGGTCCTGGGGTTGAGCCCCACATCGGGCTCTCTGCTGAGCGGGGAGTCTGCTTCCCCCCCACCCTCTGCCTGCCTCTCTGCCTACTTGTGATCTCTCTCTCTCTGTCAAATAAATGAATAAAATCTTTTAAAAAATGGGAAAGAAATGACAACAGTCAGCAGAATAACTCACAAGGCGATAAACTCAGAGAAACAACTAAGTGACAGTTTAGGCTGATTTGTCAAGAAATTTATGCATTTTTTAAATAAATTTATGCATTTTTAAAAGAAGAAGAGGTCCAGTTATAATTAGAACACTTGATTTTATTAATTTATCTTTAGTGGCAAGGCATACATAGGACTTTTGCTGAATGCCACGGTCCAGACTCGGGGCTACAGGAAGATTGAAACACTAAAGCCGTGGCTCTTATCTTTAAGGAAATGACATTCTTCCAAGGAAGGGAGAATGCACATACACCGTTCACTCTCACAGTGAGTGGTCATAAATTAGGTAATAACAAAGTGCAAATAACAGCTTATAGAATTTAAAGACAGCATGAGCCTGTGATGAAACTTTGAAGCAGGAAGGAGCCACTGTCCCATAGCAGAGTTTCTGAGACCTTTTAGTGGAGTGTTGTCTTCTGGTATTGGGACAGTTGTTTAGTATTGTCCAGTCAAGGTAAGGACTGGCTTCCAGTTTCTTATACATCTCCCCCACCACCCACCCCCTATCTGTTCCTATAATGCTTCTCTCCTGCGTTTGTATTTGCATGAGGGCTTGAAAAGGTGTGGGGACCTTTGAGCCACTCTGGCATCATGTGGCCCTTCTCATTTCAGATCATTCTGCACTCAATGCACAAATACCAGCCTCGAGTTCACGTGATCCGCAAGGATTTCAGCAGCGACCTTTCACCCACCAAACCTGTCCCTGTTGGGGATGGAGTGAAAACATTCAACTTCCCTGAGACGGTGTTTACCACAGTCACAGCCTACCAGAACCAGCAGGTAAGAGGCTGCCTTTGAGAGAAACCTGCTGTATCTGCTTTTAAAGGAGCTTATTCATGCCTTCAGTAAGAAATCCTTGGTCCTTTGAGAGGACACTGAGGAACTGGAATGAGGGGGCCCAGGCTTGCTGTGCAGACATCATGTTGGCGATGACAAGGCCATGACGCCTGGTAGCAGCTGCTCTAGTCTAGATTTAGATCAAAGACAAAATCTTTGACCAGGAGGACTGGTTCTCCTGAGTCATTTTCATGTCTCTCTGTACTTGCACCCGCATTCATGGTCTGTCCTGCATCCTGGCAAATGTTCCTCATCATTTGCTATTCCTTTGCAAGTACCAAGGTTTGATTCATTCCTTCCGTCTTCTCTGCAGTTTTCTGGGTATCCCTGCAGCAGCTACATCAAAGTCATCTAGCCTCTCAAACTCCATTGAAGACCCACTGCTTCCATTTACATTATCAGACTAAATTTACCTCTGTGTGATCACCAGCCACACCCTAACATCTGTGTTTTTATGTCAGCAATATGTTCGCTCATTCCATAAATGTTTGAGAACTTGAGAACCTACAATAGTCCAACTTCAGTAGAGAAATTGAGCAGATTAGGACTTATTTCTCCAGAAGCAAAGGAGAGTTTTAGGTGAGTGAAAGACACGTAAATACATAATGATAAAACTGGAATAATTTAGTGACAGAGACATGGACCGGCTGTTCTTGCATTTGGTGAACAAGGGAAGTTTTCCTGAAAGAGCTGTTGCTTTCTCTGATGATGAGATACACATAAGAATTGGCCAAGATTGGGGTGCTTGGGGGGCTCAGTCGGTTAAGCATCTGCCTTCGGTTCAGGTCGTGATCTTGGGGTCTTGGGATTGAGCTCCACATCCGGCCCTCTGCTCAGTGGAGTCTGCTTCTCCCTCTGCCCTTTCCCTTCCCCCTCACCCTGCTTGTGTGCTTGTGTGCTCTCTCCCTCTCTCTCAAGAAATAAATAAAGTCTTTAATAAAAAAAAAGAGTTGGCCAGACTAATGGGGGAATTATGTGGAAGTGGGATATGGAGAGAAGGAGAGAGACACCACATCTGGAATTGTTGTGGGCATTCTAGACATCGTTCTTTTTTTGAGAAGTGTGAGTAGATGGATTTATAAGTGATCTCACTTTATGCAGTTCCTGGAAAGTTGCGTATAAATCTCATTTTTTCCAAATTAGACAGTATTTCATCTTTTGACAGTTTGTCTAATTAATAGGATCCTGAAGTGAATCCTTTTCTGAAAACAAGAGTTTTTGCTTATTTATTTTGCTTGAAAGTCTGTGTACTTTTATTTTGGGGCTGCTTGGAGCAAAATGAACTTCTGCCACAATACTTGTGTTGGATACTATGCTAGTGTTCTGACAAAGGAAGAAATAGAGGAAAAATATTCATGTACTAAGTATTTATTGAGTGCTTACTATGTGCCAGGCAAGTGAAGGTGAGTGATATAAACTTTGGTTTACATAGAAAGAGCATTTTGGTCTTTCACAGTACATTTGCATAAGACTCCTGAGATGTTCTTTGCCTCTGGAAGAATTTGATATGCAACAACTCTTTAGTCTATAGACATGTCCTATACTCTTGTTGGGCTCCCTCAGCTGCTGTAAGTCATTCCCAACTTCCGATTTTCCTTGTGGTTGCCACATTTGACCCAAGTAGAGGAAGAGTCTTAGTTTGCTTTGGCCCCTTTTAAAAAAAACTCCTGAATGCCCTCAAACTCCTTAGGTAGTAAAATACAGAGGCCATGGAGGGTCCTTACAGGAATCTTTAATAATCAAGATTTTTCAAGCTCTGAAACAAGATAGTGCAGCAACACATACATGCATTTTGGAGTGACTGGAACCTTGGAATTAACTGTGGTTCAGGAGAGGAGGAGTGCAAGTCTAAGTTCTTTGAAAAACTGATGGACTTTTTCCCAAGTCACCCAGCCACCATTTTAATATTAGTTTCTCGTGAAGGCAGAGATATGACAACAAATACTGCAACTTTAGAATCTAGTTTGTAGGGCAAACTAGAACACTGGTGAATGAACATTCTGCTGCCTTCCCCAGATCAGTTGTAGAGGCCATGAGGGTCAGCATTGTCACCCAAGCTGAGATTAAAAAGCCACAACTCACCCGTGGCAATGTCAGTGAAAGAAGAACAAAACATGGCTGCCTGAAATTCCTCTCATTTCTTCTATCTCCTCTCACAGTGTTCCCATGTCTGAGGACATTCTACTCGTATAAATATTTTTGTCTTCATCTGGATTGGGGTGGGGGCAGTGGTGGTTTGTTGGGGGTGGGACACCATGATTAAATTCGTGGGATTTGGTAACAACCTGGTTTGATTTCTGACCTTTCCACTGGAGAACTATATGACCCTGAGCAAGTTTCTTTTCTTTTTTTTAAAGATTTTATTTATTTATTTGACAGACAGAGATCACAAGTAGACAGAGAGGCAGGCAGAGAGAGAGAGGAGAAGCAGGCTCCCCGCAGAGCAGAGAGCCTGATGCGGGGCTTGATCCCAGAACCCTGAGATCATGACCTGAGCTGAAGGCAGAGGCTTAACCCACTGAGCCACCCAGGGGCCCCCTGAGCAAGTTTCTTAATTCCCTTCCTCAGTGTTTCCTGGCCTGAAAACATCCCAGCCTCATGGAGTGAGTGACAAGAACTAGAGGAAGGAACACGCATAAAGTCACCGGCAAAACCCAGCATCTGATCACTAGTTGTCAGCCTACATTGGTCAGTGGCTGGGTCTGCACAGGCATGGAGGGGATTGGGGAGTAGAGTCAGTTTTCCAGAATAAATTGCTTATTAAGGAGAAAGTGGATTGTTGGGAATTGGAGGACCTGCATTGTCTCTCTAAGGTATTATAATCAATAGGTAACTGGTTTGATCTTTCTGTTCTCATGTCAGGTTGGTGAATTCATGATGTGCTGACATCCAAAATAAATGAGTCACGCATATTCAGTTCTGCCCTGTTTGACATCAAGATAACAGCTTTTGCCCATTTAATAAGTCTTCAGTCCCTGGATACATCAAGGAACAGGATTATTTAACATTCCCTTTGGCTGTGTAGATGGGCTTTCATACAACACAGTGTCTTCTAGTAAAGCAAACTAACCTGAGGTCTTTCCCCCAGGAGTCTGGAGGTCTGTATCCTGTTACCCGGCAATCATTTTCAGACTTGTCTCGGAGATGGCAGGTTGCATAAAACATTCTTTTCTGTGAGCTAGATCACCTAACTACTGTGTTTTTATTTCCCTCAACTGTCTTGAATGAGAACGATTACTATTTTATGGCAAAATTATTTACTTCATGGATTTCTTTTTAAGGGAATGGTTAGGAGGCATGAGAGAGTAAAGAGGAAAAGTCAATGGTAGGGGGGGTCACACACTGTGTTCAGGAACACAGTGAAGGAAGGACAGTGCGAGGAATGGAATTGAAGTGAAATGTTATCCAGTCTTCCCAAGGAAGGGCAATGGGCTAGCCATTTGGAGACTCGGGTTTTCATCCTAAACGAACTACTAGCTATCTATGTCATTCTGAACAAGGTATTTTCTTTCCGGGTTTTTTATAGTCCACCAAAAGATGGGAAAGATAAAGGCAGGATGGGGCGGTTTATACCTGTAAGCATTCATTTAAATAGACTGTATCTTATTTTGTCCTTTTAACCATTTTGATACTAAAATGTCACTTATTTTATGAAATAATGGTGGCAGGAGATCCTAGATGTAATTCTTTTTGTTTGATAAAGACCTGGAATATCAATGTTGATCCCTCAAATTCCCTCCCTGGAGCGAGGGAATTAGAATTGTCCTGAAGCCAGAAACCACTAATTAAGAAGAACCCTTCCATCTGTGTAAATCTAAGGCATTTGTGTCTGCCATGGTGCACAGCACTGAATGTGTGCTTGGAAAAGGACTGAATGAGTAATTAGCCAACACACCTCCACTACCAGTTTCCTTACATAGCCATGGTCCTGCTTCTTTGGATATAAGTAGTCGTGAAATGTGAAGAAAGAGTTTCTATTTTTATGAAGTATTTTATGCTTTTCTTCCCCCCCCTTCCCGTTCCTTCCTCCCGCCCTTGCTGACTGACCCATAGACTCCCAGGGCTGCTAGCATACTGAAGTTATTATTACTATTATTTGCTCTTGGAGTGCCAACTTGGCAGGCCTGAGGCAGAGATGAAGGTACACCATGCCCAGATTCTCATCGTGGAGAATAAAGTGGCAGAGTTGGGAATAAAGGTGACTCCACTGTATGCTTTTTCTTGAAGGAAGCTGACGCCAACATGTCCTCATGGAATTAGCAGGAAATTTCCATTGCAGCAGTCTTTGTCTTCTCTAAGGGGAAAAGGACTGCTGAACCTTGATTTTTTTTTTTTTTCCCAAACAGGAAACTAGATTTCAAAAAGACACAGCCCTGTTCTCCTCAGGTAACACAGTCTTATTTCTTGATGAGAATTGGCTACACGAACCAGATAGGAAGTCTGAAACCACAGCCAGGTTTGTGTAAGCAAATCCAATAGGAGTTCTGAGCCACTCATTATGTCCTAAACTATTGAGCCAGTTGTGCTCTAACTTTCCAATCAAATCAGTGCAGAGGTTTTTATTTTTTACTTTTCATATGGGCTGAGTTTTTTTTTTCCTTCCCTGATGAACACCTTTCAAAGCAATATGGTTAAAAAAAAAAGAATAACTAAGAGAGTGTTAAAAAGGGAAGGCCTTTTCAGCCTTGGTATTGTAAAATCATATGCAGGATATTGAAGTTTCATTTTTTTTTGTAGATTGTGCGATTTATGTCAGCACTGTGCACTGGGGAGGTGTACCTCATTTATTAACTGTCTGGACGTTTCCAGGCAAAAAGTCAATGAAAATGATTAAAACCAAAGGTGGCAAGCCAGCAACCATGTCTTCGTGTGCTACGGTCTTCTATGATGCAGACTGTACAACTCAGGATAATGGAAATCAAATCAGGGAAGAAAAATGCTTCCCCAACCTCTGTGCTTTCCATGTCTCCTCCTTGTCATTGGAGCAGGTTTTGAACATGACCACTGCAGAATAGTTTTAGCTGCATGGACAGTAATTAATAGACCTTGTTCTACCCAGGAGGACATTGGAGACTTCTGTCTGTGGTGCTGCAGTGAAAGCAGATAGGATCGAGGGAGTTGTCTGGTCTGTATTCTCTAAGGTTTGTTACGGCTTTGCGACTGGTGATCCTTCTTTCCCACATTATTCAGTCATGCACTCACTCACTCATTCACTCATGGAACAAATATTCATCGAACCCAAGGAGCATGTCATGTTAGGTTCTTAATAAAATGGTGTAGGAAATAGGCCTGGTTCTTACCTGAAAGCATCCTATTTTGGAGGGATGATCAGGGAGGATCTTTCTCAGGAGGCAACATTTAGCCTGAGACGAGGACAAGGCACTGGCTCTGTGAAGAGCATAGAAAATAACTTTTTTTTTTTAAACTGGAGGTAGAGTGAGTGTGAGGGGCCTGAGTTTGATGCACTTCTGCTCTGAGAGCAGCCGAGCTTGATAGGAGCTTGTGGCCCAGGCATAGGGGAGCGTGGGTGGGGGTGAGGAGCTAGCCAGGGGCCCTACAAGACCAGCCAAGGAGTTTGGGTTGAGTTTTGAGTAGAGGGGTAGCCACTGACAAGAATGACGTGGTCTACATACATGTTAACAGAGATCACTTGAGTTGCTGTGTAGACCAGACAGGGACAAGGGTGGAAGAAGAGAGATTAGTCCTGAAGTTATATGTAGCAGTTTTAGTGAAGGGAGGACTGTGTTCTGGTTGAAGGTGGGGAGATGGAGACTGGCAGCCATATTGGGGTCTAGTTGATAAACATAAACCATGGAGTAGGGTTGGAAATGGACTATTTAAATGAATCTCCCACACTACTCCGGATGGCCTCTAGATGTGTGGTGTGTGTGCTGGGCAGAGGCCGCGGGGATTATGAGTCCTCACGTGGTGGCTTGTGGGTCCCTTGCTGTGGGCCTCACTGGGCTCTGCTGGTGACCATCATGTCTACTCTGGGTCCCTTGTGTGGACATGCTCTATTGATAGAAGACTGCTGAACTTGTGCTATCGCATTTTTGCCTCAGTTGGACCTCCTGGGCCTCCCTCCCTGGCTGGCTCAGCCTCACCTCGGGGCTCAGCTGGGTCATCTGTTGGGCTCCTGCCCAGGCTGTAGTGCCTCTGTGTTAGGTCCACCTACCTTTCCTGTCATGGCATGTGAGAACCTCTAAGTCCCTGACTCCCCCACAGAGAGGGTGATAGGAGGCCTGGAGAGGCTAACTTGTCCTCTTCCTGATTCTTCAGACCTGATTCTTCAGATTCTTCAGGTGGCATTTTTACTTTGATGCGACCAGCCCTGCATGTGTGTGTGTGTTGGGGGAGGGGGCTGCCAGTTTTCCTCTGAAGCTCCCCACCTGCACCCCTGGATTTCGGTTTGAGTAGGGAGCTAAGGCACGTGCAAGTCCACGGGCTTGCTTCTCTCTTGTCTGTTTCCTCTTTTTTCATACTCTGCTGAGGTGGAAGGGGAAGATCTCTTACTTCTTTTTCCTTTTGAAAAGAATCCGCCTCATGTCACATCCTTTCCTCCACAGAACAGCAGGCTTGGTGGCCCAGCTGTCATTTGCATTCCCTTTCTATGCTATATGAGATGCTCGTGAAGAGTGGATGCCGCCAGGCTGGCTCTTCCTATGGGAACCGTGGGACTGTGGATCATTGAGGTTGAGAATACGTTGGTTTATTCCTCCAAATTATTTGTCTGTGTTACCTACAGGATGGGTAGACCTCACCAAAGTGGTCAGCGTGAGCATCAGCCGGGGTCATAGTTCAGTTTATATTGCTAAACTTGCTCTCTTCTGCCTGTAGGGTATACAGACACCTAATCAGGGCAAGACAGGCTTTCTGAGATACGGCCTCAGGCAGCCTCTCCTGCTCTCTTTTGCTGCCTCTCTCCCCATACCCTGTGCTCTGGTCAAATTGGGCTTCTCGGTGCTTCTCGTGTGCCCTTCATTCTGTCATGCTTCTTTGCTTCCATGCTCTGTCTTCCGTAGGCCGTGTCTTATGAAATGCTTCCCTTGTTCCTTTTCCCCTTTTTGCACTTTGCGTTCAAGTCCTACACATCCTTCGAGGCCTGGCTCATGTGCTGTCTCTGAGGTGAAACCTCTCAGAGCTCTTAAACTTGGGACTCTCACGGCTCCCTCTGAAGCTTTCTTTTGCCTTCATTGCAAACCTTACCAATTCCCATCTTGTGTTAACGTCTATGTGTTAGTGTATATATCTGCTTTTTTCTTCTAGATTATAAGCTTCTGGGGCGGCGGGCACCAGACAGTCCACAGCCATATATGGACTGTGTATCACTGTCACCTTTGCCTTCTGTCACCTTGCTTTGCACACAAAGGTACTTGACAAGTAAATAATGGGTATGCAACTACACAAAGTTCTCTAAATCTCACATTAAAAGCTTTGAAACAAGTATAGAGGTGCTGTTTTTCCTGACATTTGGTGGCACTTTTCTATTAAATCTCCATGCAGAACTCTTGGCCTGAGAGAGAATGAGCTGTGGGAAGCAGGTTTTCAACCTTTTCTCTCAGGCCCATGAAATAGAATGTCATTTTATTTACAGGGGTCTGTGGAGGCCCCCAAAACATGGCAGCACAATCATCTATCAGAAACCGCTATCATAAATGAGCTGGACAGGATAAGCCAACTTGAAAGAGAAAATAAAATATTATAACCCTAACTTGAAAAGAAAATATGGTGTGCGGTTTATTGCTGTGGATTATGGAGGAAGAAAGAACGGATTTTAAGTCAAAAACAGAAAAGCAGTGACAGTCTTTAAAGTCCATACAATATTCACAAGGCAGACACTAGACTTTAGAGAGCCAAAACTTCAGGCTCCTGCTCTGGTCTATAAAATAGATGTAAAATTGCTTTTGCTACATTATTAGTGCTGCATTATTAGTGTGCCATTCTAGAAACAAGGAATGTTTTAGGAGAAACAAAAATTAACTTTGGTACTTTCAAGTCAGAGTCTGTTGCTCAGAATCTCACATTGCCTTTTAAAGACCTTTAAAAATTTCAGCTTTGGGAAATTCCACTCTGACAAAGTGAGATGGAAGAGAGACTTGGAAAAGACTTGCAGTGTAAGAAATAACTTCAGCTGTCCCGGTGATAAGCTCTGCAATGACCAGAAATGGGAAGGTCGTCTTTAATAATGAGATTCCCTTCTTCCTACAATCACCTTCCATTAAAAGCACCTTTCCTCCTTCCCTGGGCTCCCTGACCCCCACCCCAAAGTCTCTGTTGCTTGAAGCTAGTGAGTCATTAACATCTGGTTTAGACAAAAAAATATCAAAAATGCCTCCCATGACCAAGGCTGAAAGTGAAAATGTAAGAACACATGTGGAATTTGTTGGTCAGGCTTGGTCTAGTCTGGGGGCATGGGAGTGGTGTGTACAACCCTCGCTGAGGAGTTCGAGGGGCTAAGATAAGAGGTGATAGAGAGGGGCTTATGCTCTGAGTGGAGGTTGAACCAGATGGCTCCTAAGGACCCATCCAGCCTGGGTCACATAGTCATTCATGTCCTCTGATTTGCTTGTAAGCCTTAGAGACTGGATGTAGCCTGCCCCAGTGAGTCCCCCGTTTATAGATTTTCCTTTGGGTGCAAACTTGAGAAAAGTGTAGCTACTTTCAGTGTCTTTTACAAGAACATTCTAGGTCATTAAAGGAACCATCTCGAGGGGAGGGAGGGAAAACTAGAGTGAGATGGTAAGTCCGGTCAGTTATATGGTTCTTTCAGGTTGAGGCAGGTTGCCTAAGGTTCTGATTCCTTTGGATTGGATTGACTGGTTCCATTTGTTCATCATTCACTCACTCGCTTACTGGCTCATTCACCCATCAAGGGCTTTTCAAGTTCTTCCTGTATGTTATGTACCACGGACTTGACCATTGCCCAGTTTTCTAGTTCCATGCCTTTGTGTGTCTAGGCAAGTGATTTATCACCTTTTCTGGGGTAAGAAATGTGAGCAGAAGGGAGTTTACAGTCACATACTGAGAAGACCTCAGTTTTTAGGGAGAAGTGGGTCAGGTGGGTCAGACATCTGGGTGCCAGGCCCAAGTCCTATATCAACTTCCATTCAAACTCAGACTTAAAAGAATCTAAATAAAAACAACAGCTGTTAGCAACAGAGTGATTTCTGTTAATTTTCTAGGAGCAATGCAAAAAGGAGTCAGTTAATATAAATGTAATTTATGTTCTTTGTTTCCAGATCACCAGATTAAAAATTGATCGAAACCCTTTTGCTAAAGGATTCAGAGATTCTGGAAGAAACAGGTAAGAATAATTGGGAAAGACATTTCTTTTCTTCATGACGTCATCCACTCCCCCCTCCCCCACACTCCATTGGTGGCTTTTGGCTCCTGCTTTTGGGGGAACACTTGCACACTATGCCTCTGTGCTGACTCAGGCAAAGAGAGATGGATAGCTGTTCTGAGAATCAAAAAGCTGTCCCCAAGAGATTGAGTTTTCCAGTTTTTGTTAACACTCTGTACATGACCAGATCGGATCCCTCATGGTGTTTTTCTCCCTACATCATGCTTGGTAATCAAGTCCCTTAAATTAAATTTTATGGTGATTTATTACCACGAAATGATTGCTCCTTTTTCTGCTAAGTACTCTAGGTGGCTACAGCACATACAGTGATAATCTCATTTACTTTGTATTATCAAACAAGGACTTGTGGACAAATAAAAATTATCAGAAGATGATCACCTTTAAGATTAGCTAAAAAATGTTAAAAAAATTAGCCTTTTCTCTTAAGGAATATTCCCCAAATATATTAGATGCTGCCTGCCTTAGTAAAGATAGTTTCTAGAACGCAACTTTCCTGATGCTCCAGCATTAGGATTAGGCTGTCATGGAGGGAAACTCTTAGGACCCGCTGATGTTTGCGGGACTGTTTGCTCTTGTTGTAAGTGGTCTTAGCAGCTGTGGCATTTTTCTGGTTAATTCTGCTTCTCTCTAAATCCTTTCTTTCCCACCGTTCCTATATAAAATTAAAATCTGTTATCCCAAGAGCTAGGGGAGAATGGAAGTTGCTAGGAAACACAGATCTATCAAAGGTTATTCAGCCAGAAAACTCACTTCATATAAACCCTACAGAAACCACAAATGTGACACATGTGTCTTGTAAAGTGTGTAGGCTTTGCAATAACTATTTACGTGAGCGTTCAGACCTTTCCCTCACTTGGGGCATTTCTTTACATCTGAATGACACAGACCGTCAGGAGTTCCCTTCACTATCTTCTCTGCAAGAGTTTTCAGATAAACTATCTAGTATTATATTTAGGATATTTTCATGAACGGTATAGCACATTCTATTAGAACCCAGATTTATGCTAAAAATCATCTATAGTGATCATTTCCTTTACAAAATTATTTATGGAAACACTTTTTAAAAAAAGATTTATTTATTTATTTGAAGAAGAGAGAGGGAATACAGGGAAGGGCAGAGGGAGAGGGAGAGAGAAATTTTAGCAGACTCCTCACTGAGCTCAGAGCCCGCTGTGGGGCTCAGTCTTACCACCCTGAGATCATGACCTGAGCCAAAACCAAAGGTCAAGAGCTTAACTGACTGCATGACCCAGGACCCCCCAAAAGCACTGCTTTTTTAAAAACATTATTTGTTTTTTAAATTCCGCTATAGTTAGCATACAGTGTTGTATTATTTTCAGGTGTACAATATCATGATTCAACAATTCTATATATTACTCAGCACTCATCACGAGAAGTGTACCCTTCGCCCCCTGTAGAAGCACTTCTTAACGAAACTCTTATTGTATATTTAAAATACATTTAAATTGCTATCCAATTTTATTTACCTCAGAATTTCTTAAGGTTATGTCTACTGAGTAAAGTAAAATTCACTTCAACTTCTAGTTTGAAAACTTCAGGCCACAGGCTTTCCTGTTCAGTGAAGACCTTTGTCTTTCAAATGTAGCCAGTGAGGAATGCATACTTATTCCTTCCATTTGAGACAGGCCTCTTCCTGCCCTCTAGCTTATATTCCTTGTTCAGGTCATAGAACTTGCCTGTGAATGGTGTCCTGTTGCTTCCTTTTCGGGGCTCTGCATTCTGGGCTTACTAAGGACCTTGCTGGTGATGATGTGCTCAGAATAGAAGCTGGCCTTTCATAAAGAAGCTGCTAGGGTGTTTAAGATCATTAGCTCGAGTCTGTGGGTGGATTTCCGGGGTTCTGTGAGTTCCTGGATAATATAAGGAAAATTGAGTGTGGATGAGTGGGTGTACATTTTCTGGGGAGAGGTCTGTAGCTTTCTCCAAGTTTTCGAAAATTTCCATGACCAAGTGTTAAGAATTTCTGCCCTAGACACCATGAGGGGTCAACCCTAATGACTTTAGTTATTCAACTACTTTCTCTTTCTTTCCTCTGGTATCCCCAGTGACACTTAGTATTTGTTTATTTTCTTCTTGGAACTCTAAAGATTGTTTTGATATTTTTCTTTGCTTTTTTTCTTCTACCGGAGTCCTTGTTTTTCAGAGGTGTGACCTAGAACAGAAAATTGGAATAGATAGGCTGTACTGACCAGCATCAGTGCTCTGCTCTAAGAACTGGAACCATATTTTAGTCTGGTGAATTAGACCATGTAGCTTGAAGCATTTGCCTCTGGTTAGGAAGTTGTGATGACATCTTGGTGCAAGTCCCAGGGTCCTCCTGTCCCCTCACGGGGCTAGAAGGGACCTTCACATCATTTAGCCCTGGCTTGGATCTGCTTTGGGGCTGGTGAATATCTTCCTGCTCAGGACAGGCAATTATTTGTTCTGCCTGGTGGGCTACTCTTCTTTGTAAGGAATCCATGAAAGCAGAACTCTGGATCCTCAATAGCCCATTTTAGTGCCTTATTTATTTATTTTTCTGATAACATGTTGATTCTTTGTGATGTATGCCCCATTTAAAACTTCAGGGTACTTTAAGTAATTTAAGTAATTACCAGAATTATCCATGATTGAACACTTACTGTGTTCCAGACCTTTCACTTAGTTTTTTTTTTTTTCCCAATTTTTAAAATGACCTATATTTTACAAACGAAGGAACTGAGACTCAGAGAGCTTAATTAGCTTCTGTAGGGTCACAGAGCAAAGCTGGAGCACAGAGTAACTTCCGGGTTCCCGACTTCAAAGTCTGTGAACTTCGTGTTCTATCATGCTAACAGTTTCAACTCAACGTATTTTATCTCCAACAGATATGGAAACTAGAACTCTTCCTCTGAAAACACTTCGTTTACTTAAAGGTACTACTCAAGTACCCAGAACCTTCTCTTTTCCAAATAAAACAATCTGTATATTCTCCACCTGCCTTTGCAGTCATCCTCATGGCTTTATCATCTACTTGCTATACCCCCTGTCAACAAGGGATTCCCTAGTAGAGGACAGAAGTCAGGCTGAACTTCCCTAGCAGGTGAAACTGTGACATAATGGCCTTGAAGTCCCTTGTCTCATGAGAGGGCAAAGGTGAATCATTGAATATAGAAGTAATTTTTGTCCTACAGCAGTCTGGGAATACAGACTCATGGAGGCCCTTGTATTCTGTCTTTAAAAAATTTCAAAATGACCTGATAATCAGACTTGAAATCTCACTTCCTGGCTGCAGGGTCTGACGAGGGAAAGAACCATTAATGTCATTTTGCAGATGGGAACGATTGATGGATGAGGATATAGGGGATTATTTTTTTTTTTAATATTTTATTTATTTATTTGACAGAGAGAGAAATCACAAGTAGGCAGAGAGGCAGGCAGAGAGAGAAGGGGAAGCAGGCTCGTCGCCGAGCAGAGAGCCCGATGCGGGGCCCGATCCCAGGACCCTGGGATCACGACCTGAGCCGAAGGCAGAGGCCTTAACCCACTGAGCCACCCAGGCGCCCTATAGGGGATTATTTGTAAATCTTCTGGGATCTGGTGGTTCTTTGCCAGCACTAGAATCCAGTTCCTTACCGTCCAACAAGTGCCTCACCTATTGCCCTTCTTGTGTTACCGGAGTTCTTATAAGTCTCTGATCATCCCCATGCATTTTAGACATCAAATGACTCATAGTGACGAGCATGGTTTGATGAGTTGCATATAAATGTACCCAAAACATACGGATTACATTTCCTTTAAAAACACACGGGCTTAAAAATTAGGGCGGGAGGAGTTCTTGGCCAATGGTTTTTGGTTATGCAGAACACAAAACATTTGTGGAATACTTTGGAGTTACAGAATTTGCCAAACCTCAAACCAAAACATGTTTAGGTTTGTCGATCTCAATCTATCCCAGTGTGATCCAAAGGCTCAGGGAGGGAGGGGTGTGGAGGGAAGATGGGGAGGACACAGCACCCTCTGCACTCTCTTCCCTTGCCTCTCCTGAGTCTCTCCCACCCTTCCAGCCTCTCACTGCGGAGTCTTCTGATTGGGGCTGGCAGGCAACAGCAGTGTCCTGGGCAAAGAAAAGAACTCGAGGGAGCTGGGCTGAAGATCCTTATTTCCATGTAAAGAGATATCTGTGGAGAATACTCCTGGCTTCTAGCCCTCCCGTTTTCTCCATTCTCTCACCGGGCACCAGAGTGACCCCTGTGATTGCTGAGTCTGGGAGAAGGAACTCTTGAGGTCCTGCTTTCCTGCACACAGCGTACATTCTAGGTTCTTGCCCTGTGTCGCAGGTTCAGCACAGGAGGCCTGCTGTTCTGGGGGGCTGGCTTGCTTCAGGGGAGTCCTGACCCACTCATTCAGCTTCCACATCTATGCCAGAGTGTCCACACACCTTTATCTGCAATGAAACTGGTATTTCGGTCTCTGTGGCTTTGGGCTCCTACATCCTTCTTGGACTTTATCTTGAGTTTAGATGAGGACAAGAGGTGACATTCACTGGTCCTTTAGAACCCCCACAGAATCCCCAGTGAGTCCACAGTGTTAGCCCTGTGGTATCACTGTCCCCAGAGCTTGTCACAGCCCTCCCTGCTTCCTTAGGAAGTGCCATTCACACACTTCAGTGTAAGGAGGTCGCCACTCTTCAAACCGCACTTAGGGAATGATTGCTTTGCCTTCCTGTGTAATTGTGTCCCTGATAAGAAGTCTCTACCAGAAGTGTGTGTTCATGTTGAGGGGAGGAGAGGTAGACAGCTGGCCCTTTTGGGTGGAGACATTGTCAGATTTTGCTTCCAGGGATTGATCGTCTCTGCAATGGAAGGGCAATTGTGTTTAATTCCAAATTGTCCCTCCTTCTAGATTTCTCAGAAATCATGTGGCTCAATTCTGGCTTTGGGTAGAGCCATGCATATTTA